GGGTGGGTTTTGGGGAGGAGGGGAGTTATATTGTAAAACTTAAAAATTTTCAATAATAAAAAAAAGAAATTGGTATTCTCGTCTCTGATTTCATATTCTACGTGGTATTTGTTTTAATACAATTATTTCTTTACCCTTATATATTATCGATTCGTCTTGTTTTTTTATATATTTCATCCCTTATTGATCTTCTAGTAAACCTTATATGCACCTCTCTCGCCAATCTATGCCTTCGTGCATAATTTGTATATACTCTATATATTTCATCTATGTCTCCTCTTGTTTCCTGTTTGTCTTTTCCTAATATCTCCACCAACATCTCCGCCATCTTCTCTCCCAAATCTTCTTCCTTTTCCTCTATGATATTTTGGAATCTTAGAAAGAATGAAGCTTTTTCCATTTCCAAAAAGGCAATAGAATCAGTCAACTCCCTATTTACTTGCTCGGATTTCTGTACCATCCTTTCTATTTTGCTATCAACTTGCTCTATTTTTGTTTCGACTTTTTGAATTCTTTGTTCGTTTTCCATCATGGTTTGTTGTATATTGCCTATCTTATCATTCATGTTTTTAATTTCATCTCTCATTTCTCCAATCAGCTGGAGCCAATCAGCTGGAGCCCTGCCACTCCTGGGGCTTCTGCCAAGCCCAGACAGTTCTGCAGCTGCAGCTGCCTTTCCCTCAGGCTTGGCTCGCTTTGGCTCATTCCCCTCCCCTGCTATACTTGGCTACCAATCACGTACCAGCTGCCATGTGGCAAAGTACCACAAGTGGTATGCGTACCACCAGTTGAAAAGCCCTGCACTAGATCCCAATAGCTAAATATCCTGTTAAAGGATATTATGGTTTTACTTAGTTGATAACAATAAGAACTATATTAGTTCAATATGAGATAGTAGATATCAAGGGAAAAAGAGAGAAAATATCTGATGATGTAACTTGAGATCTGTTGTAAAGATTTATGTATGTTATGGAATTACTGACTACTCAGTCAACACGTTGCTTTTTAAATGTTTAATTGTAAAATTAGAAAACTAATAAAATATTATTTAAAAAATCACTTGGAAAAATTGCACACCACGTTTGTGTTGTATTTTCCATTCATGTCAAGAGGATGTAATATTGGAATTCATTGGGTTGCATTGCCCTCATTATGGACAATGCTATGAACTCTGACCTTTCCTCTCAAGAGCAAGAAGCGCTTCTGGAATTGACATCAGACCACAATTTGAAGGAACTTTTTAATGAAAAAACACTGACCAAGCTTTGGAGCCAAGTTGCAAAACTGTACCCGGAAGTGGGGGGGAAAGCTGTCATAGCGTTACTGCCATTTGGTTCCACATACTTGTGTGAGAAGGCATTTTCTTCATTAACATGCATCAATCAATCAGTTATTGTTACAGCCATTGGCCAACACATAAAATTAAACATTCAAATAAAACAGAACTAAACAGAATCGAATACAAGAAAGCATAGCAATATATTACAATTAATGATGTAATCAATGAATGTCCAAAGTCTGCCTAGTTTTACATACAGTATAACAAAACCTATCTACCTTCAGAGCGACTGAGTCATACTGACTTGACAATAAAAATACATTGAGTATTGTCTAATACTGAATAAAAACACGTAATAAAATTAATTAGAAAAGATTATTAAAAAGATCTAAAATATTTATTTATGTTTCTGGTGAATCCTCAGGGCTGCTGCACAGAATCTAGCCACCTGCACCGTGATCACTGCCTGCTCATCCTTAAGCAGCCACTGTAGATAAATACTTTCCGAATGACCAGGGTACCTATCAATTATGGGGAGGATATGGTTTTTCCGAATAGCTCTAGAGAAGGAACATCGAAACAGTATGTGTCCAATGGTCTCCACCTCTCCTGAGCCACAGGAGCAGAGTCTTTCAGACAATGGTGTCTTTTTATACTTGCCGTACAGGACAGCCGATGGAAACGCATGGCACCTTTTGAGCGAAAATGCTTTCCGGTGGGTTACTGACTCCAACTAAGATAACAGGCAGTCCAACCCCCTGTTCAAGCAGGAGCCCTATACCATTTCAGACAAGTCTCTTCTTAAAAACGTCCAGTGATGAAGCACCCACAACTTCTGAAGGCAAGCTTTTCCATTGGTTAATTGTTCTCACTTATGAGTTTCTCCTTAATTCCAGATTGCTTCTCTCCTTGATTAATTTTCATCCATTGTTTCTTGTCCTGCCCTCTAGTGCTTTGGAAAATAAGTTGACCCCCTCCTCTTTGTGGTAGCCTCACAAATACTAGAATACTGCTATCATGCCCCCCCCCCAGTCCCTTCTTTTCTTTAGACTAGCTAAACCCAAATCCTGCAACAGTCCTTCCTATGTTATAGTCCCCAGGTCTCAACAACTTTTTTGTAATGTGGTGACCAAAACTGGATGCAGTATTCCAGGTGTGGTGTTAGTAAGGCTTTATAAAATAGTACTAATACTTAACGTGATTTTGATTCAATGCCTCTGTATACAACCAAGGGTTGTATTCGCTTTTTTGGCTGCTGCCGCACGCTGTTGGGGGATCGCCCACTGGGACTCAAAGGTCCCTCTCACAATGTTTTTGAGTCAGGTTTCACCTAACCTGTACTTGCCTGTATGTATTTGTGTCCTGCCTGTATGTATTTGTGTCATATGAAGCTGTTCTCTGTGTTCCTTAACTTCTATAATTTGGGAAATACTTAAGTTACAAATATCCATGTCACATCTGATGTTTAGTGGAAGTCGTATTTAGTATTGTCAGCTGAAGATAGCCTCGCCTTCCGAGATCCTTCGAGAAAGACCAATCTACTGGGCGCCGGCCCGCCTGAGGGCACCAGCTACGGTCTTCTTTCCAGGAGCGTCCCTATTCTTCAGGGGTTCCCTCTCTGCTCCAGCTAGTTAGCCGCGCAGATTCTCCGGAGCGCCGCCTTCACTCAATCGACGTTGGGAGGACACTCCCTTCAGGTGCAGTCGAGCCGACGAAAAGAGTCGCAGCCCAGAATCTACAGTGAATGAAACCCGATGCTTTCGGAGGCCCGCCCAATGGCTCTGCGGCTTCTCCACCCCATAAATACTCCGCGGAGACGGTCTTGGGAAAGGGAGCTCTTGAGGAGGATAGCAGGCAATAGAGCAGGGAGGCGGCCGCGACGAGGAGGTCTTGCTGCAGAGCCGGAATCGAGCGCACCTTCCGTCCGTCAATCCACCTCGAAGGGGCCCCAAAGAACGGAGAGCGGCTCTCCGCCCGGAGAGTAATTGGAGAAGCGCAGCCCCTGGGAACATCGGCAGGTGCGCGCCTGCTCGCCTCTTCTCTCCGCTCTAGAGATGCCTCCGTGCTAAGCTGACGCGCACCCGCCGGTCCTTCAACAGTGGGCACCTCTGGGCAAAAGCGTTTCTCGCCCATGGGTCTACATGGAAGTCCCTTCGAGTCCGCCGCGACGGACCCAAAAATCTGTGCCCAGCCCAGCCCAACGGCGGATGGCTGGAAACTGGAGAGGGCGGCCAAGGAACCCTGGCCTCCGCCGATCCAGCGGGCCAAAGGGGGCGAGGACCGCCGTTGGCCTCTGCTGGCCAAGGTGGGACGAAGCTGTCCGCAAAAAAGCGCCGAGACGCTGAGCAGCCAATACGGGCTGCACCTCCTGCTGGCTGGGCTGCTGTTGATGTTCGCCTGGGCTGTCCACGCCGTCGGGGTGGCCAAAAGCGCCGTCCTGGCTTACTTGCTCTCCCTCATGGCACTGCAGCTCCTCTGGATGGCTTGGTACCTGTGCCGCCGCTGCGCGCACAAGAGGCTCATCCAGGACAAGGACACCCAAGCCGGAGCACGCTGGCTCAAGTGTGAGTGGGGCGGGGCGGGGGCGCGCCGCGGAGAGAGGGCCTCCAGCTGGGAAAAGCGGGCAGCCGCTTGGCAGGCTACCCTGGAAGGGAGGAACAGGTCCCGGAGGAAGCAACGGTGGAGCCCTCCCCGCCTTTGTTGCTGCCCAGAAAACCGCACATTTCTCTCGGTGTAGGCAATGAAGCACACCATTTAAGGGTGGAGGATCCCCGCCGGAGACCTCCAGGGTAACATTTGGAATGGAGCCTTGGATCCCCATGTGAACACTGCTCTTGATGTCAGGAAGAACATCTTGACTATAAAAACGGGGGCCGGTAGAACGGGATCTCACACAAAATGCTGGCATTCTCCTTGCTAGGGGTCTAGACCGGTGGGCATCCTACAGAGGTTGTAGAACAAGATGCTCTTTTGGAGGCCATGTAACAGTTAAAATTCCTTGGATGCCCCATCCAAACAAAACTGTAGTTATTCGGTACAAAACTGGCTGCATTTGAGTTAACTTTTCCCCTTAATCTCTCACACAATCTAATACAGTATTATATGAAAATCCTTCTCCTTGAAAATCCTGCACCAAGTAAAGGATGTACTATGTGACCTCTAAGGTTCATTCTAGAAAAAAAAATCATTGGGTGTGTCATTAGGACCTTATGCATATTTGTTTTGACTAGATAACTGTAACAACTATAATAAATATACTGATTTAAACTTGATTTATTTTTTAAGCAAGTTCAATAAAATCGCCATGTAACAAGTCCCATTAGGGATACTTTATACATACGAAATGTGAACATTCCCTGCAATGATGGACAAATCCAATATACTTTTGATGAGGCATTTATTTACTTTTCTTAATCCCTATTGATTAACCATCTTCTCTTCCCAGACAGTGTACAAAACTGAGATTTTATTTAATACTTTGTTTAAGAGAATAAGGTAGTTTGTTCATAATAGAGTTGCTGCCCTGGATTCTAATCCAAAACAAAAGCCCTTGGAGCCCGGATTTTAGTGGTGTGCTATCCCAGGTTAAGGGACTACCTTTTTCTGAGGATTTTTGGGAATTACATGTTGTTGATGCTTCAGCATATGCATCCCCATTTCAGCAGTTCAACTGAGATTATGCTTCATGAATCCAAATTTTATAAGAAAATGGTTATAGAAACAAGAATGCAAAATCCATAGATTTTTTTTGTATACTTTAGTAGATGTTTTGGAAGAAGTTAAATGTTTGGTAAGGCTTAAGATAGGGAGTCTCAGAACTGTGATAGCTCTGCACAAATGTAATGTGTAAAGAAGTTTCACTCTCTGTCCAGAGAAAGGGCCATTGAATCCAATGTACACATATTGTACACATTTTTCTGTTTGTTATCTTCCTTCATGAGAACCACCAGAATGATAGTATTTTGGAGCAAGTATTTTAGGGTAGCCTGTAAAGTCACTAATAACATATCTTTGCATTTACTGACTCCAAGCATCCCATTTATTGTAATAATTATCCTCCTAAAGGTAAGTTCGAAAACCCATTGCAAAATTCAGCAGAAGATGGCATTCCAACTACTTCTGGAGTGGAAATGGGCTAATGAAACAAACATGTTTTTTAAAGAAAGAAAGCAAGATTTAAGATCTATTACATCAATGAACACCATGAAAGTGAGGGGGTTAATCATTTCCCTCATGCTCTTGCTCAAAACTATCCATTATCCCTAAGAAGCTGGTAGCTCTTTTTGAGGGCGAGTAGGGATGGAAGATAGGTGTCAGTGCAGGAAGTTGAACAGGATGAACAAGCTTTTTTTGCCATTTTTTTAGTACAAGAAAAGTTAGGTTGCTGGGGTTACCTGGTATATGAAAATTAGGATGTTTATCTCACTTTTTAAAATGTCCTGTATGATAACAGTTTTGGTGTATCCACAGTGAAGCTAGTAATAATTGTTTTCTTCATATATTTTCTATAGTTGCTAGAAAGATATGCCAATGTATTAATTCAACATCATTTTCTGTCAATTTGCAACCATCTTTCCACCAAATGGAAATCCACAAATAGAATTCATGTCTTCTGAGCGTGATCTGTTTCTCCTCAGTAGTTTTTGCATGTGTAGAAGGACTTAACATGACCAGTCATACAGAATCTCAAAACAACTGAGGGGAATTGATATCTTGGGCATAGGAGAAGAGGACAATTCCAGGCAATCCCACCTCACCACTGTTTAATGGTGAACCATTTTGAGATCCAAAAGCCATTTTTCTTGCATAGTGTCTTCTGTGTGGAGAAAGGGGAAATATGCAGCAAAATGTTGTTGAGAATATTTCTTGTTAATTTTAGCCATTCTTTTTTGGAAGGGTGCAAAATATATTACTGCAAATTGATAGCTGTTTCTGTGTATATTTATTGGGCTTTTGATGCTTAATTTTAGACAGTTATTTTGAGTGCAATATAAATAGAAATGTAGGTTATAAATTGAATAGATACAGAAAAAATGAAAGAATGACAGGTGTCCCTATGATAAGTTACGGCTTACCAAATAGCGAGAATATTTCATCTACCTCCCACCTGCCAGATTTGGAATGCTACAACACATCTTGGCAACATTACATGTTTTGAAGGAGTTGAAGTTTCAGAGTAGTAGGGAGAAGTTAAATTGATCTGTACAGCCCGATAACCTGGTGAGCAAATGTTTATGTCAAGTGAATAATAATGGAGGACTTAGAATATTTTTTATTTTTGTGTGTCCAGTCACATTTGTCCAATAAAGAATATTCTATTCTGTTTCTATTTCTATTCTTCTACATATACAACCCAGTATTTGAAATATTGCTGTTAGCCTTAGTTCTCGAATAATTCCTGTGAATGAAGTTGAAAAAAGCTACCAGCTGAGCTATGTGAAAATTTTTACTTTTAGTATAACTCTTTCATTTAACATTTGTTCCAGGTGGAATTACTTTGTTTGCAATCATTACTTTAATTATGGATTCTTTCAAAATTGGATACTTTGTTGGATTTTCAAGTTGCTTATCAATTACAGAAGGCATTTTTCCAGTTGCACATGCAATTCATACACTTTTGCAGGTAAAGAAAGCCATTTGGTCTCTTATTATTCCAGATGTATATAACTCTTTCAGGATTGTACTGTTGTTGTGTAAGAGCCTTAAAATAAACTAACTTGGTTCAAGTTTTTTTCAGCCCTCTAATTGTATTTCCTCAAAGTCCATTAAAAACAGTCTAACAATAATAATAACTAACAGAGTTGGAAGGGACCTTTGAGGTCTTCTAGTCCAACCCCCTGCTCAGGGAGGAAACCCTATACCATTTCAGACAAATGGTTGTCCAGTCTCTTCTTAAAAACTTCCAGTGTTGGAGCATTCACAACTTCTGGAGGTAGGTTGTTCCACTGATTGTTCTGTCAGGAAATTTCTCCTTAGTTCTAGGTTGCTTCTCTCTTTGATTAGTTTCCATCCATTGCTTCTTGTCCTGCCTTCAGGTGTTTTGGAGAATAGCTTGACTCATTCTTCGTGACAACCCCTGAGATATTGGAACACTGCTATCATGTCACCTCTAGTCCTTCTCTTCATTAAACTAGACATACCCAATTCCAGCAACTGTTCTTTATATGTTTTAGCCTCCAGTCCCCTAATCATCCTTGTTGCTCTTCTCTGTACTCTTTCTAGAGTCTCAACATCTTTTTTACATCGGGGTGACCAAAACTGGATGCAGTATTCCAAGTGTGGCCTTACCAATGCATTATAAAGTGGACTAATTATCTCAATTATTGGATTGGCAAAGAAATTCCTATATAATGAAAAGTAGCTTCCTTAATGCATTGGTAATCCTGCATGTTTTTCTGTGCCAGTCAATTAAAGTGCTTGAGAGTTACATCAATGCCCAATAGGATGGTAGCTGGATGTTTTGAGAACAAGACATTTTGAGAAGCAGTTAACATTTCATTCCCAGGTCCTGGGCACCCAAAAATCCTTGAAGTGGGTTGCATGAAATTGGTTCACACCTTCCTGTCTATGCTGGTATCCCCCCTTTCTCCCTTTACAACAGGCCCCCTTCCCCATCCTTCATGATTGTGGCAAGCTGCAGCACAAGCAATGGGGAGGGCAGCCTGACATACTGCCCCCCTTCACAGGGACAATAGTCCTGGAAAGAGAAAGAGAGAGAAAAATGAGTGCTGTTCCCCTTCAATCAGGGTGGGAATTGGAGGGGTTCCCGGCTCTGGCCATAGGGAAGAGGTTAGTGCTGGCTTCAACAGGCTGCAATGAAATACTAGATGGATTTGTCTGAGGTTTTGGGGAAGTGTTAGCTGTACTGTGACAGGGTTGATGAGTTTACAAATGGGAAAATGGCCAAAGTATTTGGGCCTCAGTTTTTTTGATATCTCAGATTGGAGATATTTAGTGGAAAGGTAGACTTTGTCTCTCACTTTAAAGTCCTTTGGTTTAGAACATTTTTGTCAACTTGATTTTTATGTACAGTACATGTGTCATCTAGCACTTTGTGGACCAAAGGCCAGGTGTGTTGTAGATGGGTGATCTAGTCAGTCAGTGAGACAGTCTGGGGCATGCTTTGGGGCAGTTCTGGCATGGCAATGAATTCTTGCCCTGTAGCCATCTTAAAAGGGATGAAACCAGTGTTACTATGCACAGAGTTACATGCCACTTCTGCAAATGGGAGATCTGACCAGTTGTCTTGCTGGTAATTAACAAAACATATTAAATATTGTTCTAGGACCCCATTAGTTCATTCACAGGCCCCATTAGTCTGTGGATGATGGGAATTACTGAGTCCCTGCTTGGTGCCTAATAATTTTAGAAATTCTTGCCAATTCTCCCTGGCCTGAGATTATGTGCTTTGGCACTCCATGTAGCCTGTAGATATGCTGTGTGAAGAGCTTAGCTAGAGTGCTGACTGAAGGTATCTTTGGGTAGGGTATGAAGTGCACCTGTTTGGAAAATAGGTCTGTCAGGATTCCTGAGCTTTCAGGAAAAGTCCATAGAGATCTCAGTCCAAGGAGCCTGAAATCTTGCCACAGGTTGTAGGAGTCTTGGCACCTTCCCTGGCTGTTGTTTTGCCACTACACATATTGGGCAGCTAGCCACATATGCCTCAGTGTCTTTCTTCAGTGATGGTCACCAGAATTGGCATTTTATCAGGTGCAGGGTTTTCACAAACCCTAAATACCCTGCTGTTTTTGAATCATGGTGTTTCTCCAGGACTAAAGTTCGTTGGCTCTTAGGATTGTACAGTGTCCCTCGAACCCATGCAAGGCTCTCACGTAAGGTGAATTCATTTTTATGGTTGTTAAATCAGTCATCTTTTAGGGCTGTTTTCAGAGGTTCGATTACTTCTTTAGGTGTAGTTTTTGGCTGCTTGAGTTCTTGTGACAACTGGGGCTGTTACTTGTTTTGAAGGGATAACTGGCCAGACGAGCTCCAGCTTAGCACTGTTGTGTTGTGGCATCTAGATAAAGCTTCTGCCAAAAATTATGACCCTCTGAGAATATAGCGCAAGGTGAAGTTGAACCAACTAAAGAACTGTGCCCAGCAGATCTGCTTATGGACAGTTTCCTAGGGGTTTTAAGGGCCTCCAAGTTTTTATGGTCTGTCCAAACCTCAAAGGGGATTTTGCTTTTCTCTAGGAAGTTCCTCCAGTGCCCATCATACTGTGTAAGCTTCTTTTTCCCATATTGCCGTTCACTGCTCTGTTTCTGTGGGTTTCTTTGAAGTATAGGCACAGACTTGTAAAGTCCCCAGTTCATTTTTCTGTAGTAATACAGCCCCACTGCTATATTGCTGGCATCTGCTTGCATGACAAAAGGGGCATTTGGGTTGAGGTGCTTCAGCACCGGTTTGGCAGTGAACAGTTGCTTTAGTTTCTCAAAAGCAGCCTGGCACTCCACAGACCATTTTAAAGGTTGGCTAGGTTTAGACTTACTCTCCCCTTTCGTTTTTAACAAGTTCATAATGGATAGGGCTATTTGGGCATTTAAGGTATGAACTGGTAATAGAAGTTTGCAAACCCCAAGAGCCTTTGGAGCTGCTTCTGGGTCCGGGGTGGGGCCCAATCAAGAACTGCCCACACCTTTTCGAGGTCCATTTCTATTCCTTTATGTAGTAACACAGATAGTCATTTTTTCCCTGTGAAATTCGCATATGAAAAGCTTAGCATACAGTTGGGTAGCCTGGAGTTTCTTTAGTACTGCTCACACTAATTTCATGTGCTCTGCCATGGTTTCAGTGTAAATTGTAATGTCGTCCAAATACACCAGGACCCCGTTGTATAGGTTTTCATGCAGGATTTCATTTATGAGTTGACTGAAAATGGCAGGGGCATCCTGGAGCCCAAAGGGGAGAATCTGGAACTGGAAGCATCCCAGGGGACAGTTAAATATATTTTTCCATCATCCCCTTCTTTGATTCTCACTCAGTAATAGGCTTCCCGTAAATCCAATTTAGTGAAAACTTTTCCTTTAGCCAAATGGGCTAACATGTCCAAGGGGGCAAACATTTTCAATGCAAATGTCATTCATCCCTCTATAGTCATCGCATAGATGAAGGAACCTATCTTTTTTTCCCCCTAAAAGGTACCAGAGCGGCTACTTGCGGCTTAGCAGTTTGGATGAAACTCCTTTTTAGGTTTTTGTCTATGAAAACCTGGAGTTATGTGAACTCTTTATGCAAAACTTTATTCAGTATACCATACTGGCATATATGAAAGTAAAACGGGCTCTGACTAGACCCCACCCAAATCACTCTGGTAAAAGCATTGACTTCCTCCTCTGGATCAGGTCATGTTGCTCAATCAAGTTGAAATATATTGTTGTGGGAAAGCACTTCTAGACCAGGGCTTTTCAACTGGTGGTACGCATACTACCAGTGGTATGCGAGCACCTGGCTGGTGGTACGCATAGGATGGGTTGAAAAAAAATGTTTAAAAAAATGTAAAAAAAATGTTTAAAAAAGTGTAAAAGTTGATGAGGTGAAGAGGCAGCAGCGCCGCACAGGCTTGTGGCAAAGTCAGCTGGAACTGCACATTGCCTGGGTCCTACTGAGAGCCCAGGATCAAAGCGCGCAGCTCCAGCTGATTGGCGGCGGCCTTGGGGTAGCAGGCAGCCTCAAGCAGTCTTCAGTGGAGATTCCGCTGGAGCTGCGCGGCACATTGCCTGGGTCCCCCCCGCCCCCACCCAGATGCCCTCGCCTCCCCCAAGCATTTTTTTACTCACCTGCTTTCAGCTGCACTCCCTTTCTCCTTTTGCTTCTTTGCCTTCGCCACGTGTTTGTGAGACAAACAAAAAGTTCCATGAGACTTTCTAACTTCTCACAAGAAGTTAGAAAGTCTCATGGAACTTTTTTTCTTTTTTACCCACAAACACGTGGCGAAGGCAGAGAAGCAAAAGGAGAAAGGGAGTGCAGCTGAAAGCAGGTGAGTAAAAAAATGCTTGGGGGAGGCAAGGGCATCTGGGCGGGAGCGGGGGCGCCAACCTTACCCTGCATGGTGGCGGGAGGGTTAACAGTGGGCGCAGGGGCCCCAGGAGGAGCTGCACAAAGCAGGCAGAGGGGAGGCCGGGCAGATTGTGGGCACCGGCAAGTGAGCGAGATGGGCAGAGGTGCAAATCGGTGTGTGCTCAGAAACGCCGATCTCGTGCTCCTGCTCATCTCACTTGCTTGCAGAAAGCTGTAAAGTTTACAGCACCGCCTTTTGGGAGGGGGGAATAAGAATGGGCAAGCTGAGCAGGGCGGGATTGACAGCTGCGCGTCGTTGCTCCGACTACCATTAGAGGGCGTGGGGTGGCCCTCCCCGGCAAAGCCCCACCCACTCTTCCCGCCACTCTCATGGCTGCCCTCCGGTTGCTGGGCTCGGCTCTCGTCTGGAGAGCAAGGCCTGTTTTTGCCTGCAGGTCAGTGCAGCGATGGGGCTGGAGCCCAAAAAGTGCCCCTTTGCACCCGGGGAGGGGCTGGAGCTGCTGCAGTTGCAGCTGCATTTTAGCTCAGTGTTGAGGAGTCTCCCGGGGTCCGTCCTGGTGCTGAGGCTCCGCCGTGCCCATAAAAGAAATGCCCAGGGCTGCG